TAACAATCAGAGGGCCTGCTAGGTAAACACTTATGTCTGTTATCTTTTTGAGAAAATGTCTATGAGTAAAGGCCATTTCATAGGATCGAAATTGCCCGTTAACCAAAATTTTAAAATAAATTCTGCTTGTGTTTTACTAACACGATTTGGCTCTTGACTTCACCCTGCCTCCTTTTCAATTTCTCTCACATTTATGATTACATTTTAACTATGAGACATTATAATACATGCAATATAATAACCCTGAGGATTTTTCATGTGAACCCTACTAGAACTATCAGAGTAAATGCTATTATTTGCAGGAATATGAAGATTGTGTTGAAACATTGTTCAAGTTTCATCAAGACAGTGTCTGGACTTTGTGTTCTTACACAGAGTGTTTGCACTATGGGTATCAGAAATCCTAAGCTGTTATTTCTTGTTTGCTTCGTGAGGGGGAGCCTTATCTTCGTAAAGAAAATTTTATGTCACTGAATGACAGGCTTTAAATCAAGATCTTGGTAACTTCCCACACAAAGTCTATTTAGAGATTATTCTTATTTTTAATAAAGTTCATTCAGTTTTATGCAATGAGTTGGTGAGGGCTCCTGATACAGAGCTAGAATTTTCCTCGTGCAAGGGAACGATATATATGAAATACAAAATTTGCAGGGTAATAACATAGTATTGCTCTTATCATTTCCCCCTTCCTTTTGCTCCCTGTACCTCTGCTCTCCAGAGGGATATTGAAGACCCCATGGTACGAGACAGTTGTGCTTTCAGCTTGGTAGGTTGATGATGATTTGGGCAATTGTACCTGGGTCTCAGAAAAATGGTGCTGAAGAAAATGGCCCGATATGATAGTATCCTTAGGAAGTCACTTTGGGGAGGATTAAACATCAGAAGTCAGTGCTGGCGAGGTAACCCCACTTCTCTGACACACAACCCCGCAATGCAACTTGACATAACGTGAGTTTTCCTTCTCTGTTTTTGAAAAAAAAAGAGTGAAGACAGCTCACTTTGCGGCACTCTCTCTAACACAGAGAAATACAAGCATCTCTCAAATTTTGGATGAGTGCTGAAGAGTTGATGTTCATGAAATTTCCTGACAGGCTCAGAGTAATGATATATTGTAAATAGCATTTTGCAGTTACTCCTATAATGTCTCCAGCAAGAGACTTATCAACAGTAATAACGTTATCTTTAAAAATACGTCTTTAATTTGGAGTTCGTTCCAGTGGTAGTAAGTGGTTTAAAGCCTTATCTGCAAAATAATAGCATTTATAGTAATGCCTAATTAACATCAATTCTTCCTTATCAGCTTATTTTCATATGTTGCCAAATGAGCATTGAAATAATCACATTTTCATTCCCTACCTCCTTACCAATGCAAAGCAGACACATAACATGTAGCACTCTTCTGACAAAGTCTTAGGTGGAGAAAATCCCCACGTTCCCCTGCAAAGCATCTTCCAAACTAGAGAAACTGTATAATGCAATTCATGATCTCCAAACCTGAACTCTGTAATGAAAGGAAGAGGGAGTGACAAGCTTTAGGGTATTTGTCTCTTCTGATCAGCTCTATGTTTTTGTAAGGAAAATTGAACTGCAGTTGCTAATATTTGGCTTTGGGAACCTTCTGTTTTCAGGAAGCCAGTGAATTTCCCACAAGGACAACAGTACATTCAGGCTGTTCTAAAATATTCAGGTTATATTCCAAAATAGGCAGATCACCAGATTAATTTTTCTGATGAGTCACACTATTGATCAAATCCCTACATGACACTTTTAACTTATTTTGAGAATGGAGTTTTTTCTATCATGCTAGTTCATATAAAAAACCTCAGAGTTTTCTTTGACTACCAACTAAGGAATATGTCTCTTAGTCAAAAAGTAGAAATTTTTTGTTTAGTTCTGGTTTAGAAATTGAAGGTTCAAGTTCTTTAGATCTCCCAATGTGTATTAAAAAGTAGTCAAAGAATACTGTTCAAAAAGTAAAGTATAATGTAAATAAACTTTAATATTGGAGAGGTGTTTAAATGAAACATCTGAGGAAAGGAAGGATAAGTTCTGAACCATAAAATTCTTTTTAAGGGAAAGAAATATTATAAAAATCCTTTTAGTATTCCACATCAAGAAGTGAGGCACAGGCCTTATGATGGCTCTATTCTGTGCATGTCTGAGTAAAGGATTTTAGCTGTACACTAAAAATATTTTCAAACCAACACGCTTTCCTTCTACATGCCAAGACCCTTTGGATTACGTTTATCATACTGTAGTCTTTGGCTATAGCATATATATAGGGCATCCCAATTTCTGGGATCAATATCAATCAAAATCAATAACCAGAACTGTATTTCCTTCAGCCCTGAGAGCCAGGCTGCCTCTGAAGCACCAGAATTGCTTTCCAACTCTGGAAGAGGATATTTGTTTGAGAAGCACTAGAATAACGCTAAGCCTCCCCACCAAGCCTCAGGCCAGTTCAAACGTTGCAAAGTCACAGAGGACTCCCTAGAAATATGTACTTTATAATTCCAGCATAAAAGGAGTAAGTTTTTCATGGAAGTCAGAACTTAAAGTGCCAATGCGTCTTCTGCAGGCACCTCAGTTCCTTAGGCCACCAAATCAAAGAAATAGGCCAAAAGTTTTTCCTGAACCCCACCTCCTTGTAGACCACAGGGTGCTGCTCTCCTTCTTGGAGCAGAAGACTAACACAAGCAAGGAAGGCCAGTGGCCCTCAAAGTCATGATCAACTTTTTTACTTACTGTGATGGTAAGTAACCCTGCTCTTTCAGCTGGCATGGATGAAGAGAATACCCCAGATAAGGAGAAATCTGGGATCAGGTTCCTCTAAGCATGGTGCCTCCATGGGACTCCCAGCTGTAGAAGGGTCTGCTCCCTGGGGTTAGGCTGGCTTTGGGGAACGAGCAAAGTCACACAGGGTTTTGCAGGGGCCATGCTTTGCCATGGGACAGCAAAACTGGCCAGGTGTGGAAGGGGCATCCCTGAAAGCTGGCTCTCCCTACGGACAGCCATGCCGGCTGGCAGCCCTGGTGGCAGCAGGAGCCATGCAGCCCCGCTGGGGCGCCCGAGGGGGAGGTTCAGCACTGCTGTGGCTTTGCAGGCACCCTGCAGAACCAACTCCGAGGGAAGGCTGCAACCCAAATACCTCATCCACCGGTAGCTGGAAGGTGACCAAGTCTGGCAATGCCTCAATCCTGCTTTCCGAAGCAGCCAAGTGTGTATGTCTCTATTGGCCTTCACTACTTGTCTCCTCGGGAATATGGGATTCCTGCACCTCCACTAGCTGCTGAAGGTAACATGGTGTTTGTGTGCCCAGAGAGCAACTTCTTCTCATTTTACTGAAGATTATGCTTTCATAGAAAGCAAGGGTAGCTCTACAATGTCTTTGGACATCTGAGTGACAAAGGATAAGGTATGCTGCAAAGGATGTGTGGGAGGAGAAGCTAGATAAACCACAGTGACGCTGTCAAGTATTTGTAATGTTAACATATTACTACAGCAGAAACATAGAAAGTAAAGCAGCTGCCTTACTATTAATATTCAGAGCCAGGGATTTAAACACGTATGCAAAATTGCATATTTGAGTTCCATTTTGTACTAAAGCCAAATTCTCTCGGTCTGGACCTTTGGCAGTACAAAAGTCCCTAAAGGACTACTCCTGACAAGTTAAGATCACTCCATCGCTTTTATCTGCTGTGGTTTTGTAGTACGTTATTTGAAAGGCTGCTAAGGCGGTGAAGAATTGCCAAGAGATAACTGAACCACAAAGGTTGTAATAATAAAGGAGGACAGAGCAAAATTGAAGCTGTACTTCCAGGATTTCCTTGTTATGCGGGAATGTAAGCAAATTTTAACACTGCATTAGCATAGTCCCTCTCCAATTTGTTTTTCACTACAGCTTGTTGCTGAGAGCATTCTTTTGTGTTTCACTCGGTAGGAGACATCTGAAAATGTGTTGTTAAATACCAGAAAAAAAGACTTTTGAAGCACTGCTTTTTCTATGCCACCACCACAGTGTGTTCATTATTCCTGCTACAGGAATAAAAATGTCTGGTCAAATGTATGAACATGTTTAATATAGAGCATTTCCTGATAGTCTAGCTGACTGGCCTATACATAACTTTAAGAAATATTTAATACCACTGTATTAAAATTATATTTTAAGCTTTGAGATTGATGTTTTACCTACACATTCATTGCAGTCCAGAGAAGCTGTAGATGCAGGAGTTGCACTGGTATCTGATCAACTCAATAGAAATATATCTATGTATATATGAATACGTATAAAATTAAGAAACCACATCAATTGTATAATTATAAAAATGTATACATCAGTAAACCATGTAGATTTCTTTTGTATACAAGCAATAATAATGAAAAAAAATAATATGGAACTATAAAGATGCAGTCAACTCCTAGTTAGCCATGGATGGCTTGTTTAAGATGCAGAATAGCTGTACTCCAGAGACTCTAGAATTGTGCATAGCTGGTCCAGCAAGTTTAGTGTTTCAAACACAGAGATGTCTCAGACCCAGCTGTGTTACATCCATGCTTAGCTCAGGGCTAAAAGTTGGCAATTTTGGGCCTTTCTGGGTCATTACCAGACCAGAGCTAAGCTAGTCTCAGGAGGAATTCCTCCGCTTTCTGTCTTCACCAATGTCTTCTATTATATAAGCGACCCTTTTATATAGGGTATCCCAATTCTGTATTGCTTCAGCTAAGAACAGACAGAAACCTCACCTTTTGTATGTCAGGTGTTTAAAGTGATGTCAAAATGCACCAAGAAAGAAAAAAAAAAAAAAAAGCAGAGTTGGGAATAGATTATGGAATGCATTCAAAAAGGGGAAGGAGCTGTATTGTTCACCGGCCTTTTCTATGCCTTTTCTATGCCTGTCATCGTGCTTCACTGTTGTTACACTTAACAAAAAGGCACGGTTGCATTTATATTGTCCCTACACGAACCTCTGCAGAGTTAATAATTTTTGATCCATTTTTAGACATGAACTTCTGGAAGAAGCTCGGAGAAAGGGTTTACCTTTTGCACAGTGGGATGGGCCAACAGTCGTTGCCTGGCTGGAGGTAAGTGTTGGCCATAACCTGGAAATAAATGTGAGTCACATTTATAGGCTGCTTCTGTGTGCTCGTCCTCACAAGTTCTAAAAGGGACTGTTGAAGTTTCCTCCTCCCCCCGCTGTGCCATGAGCATTAAGCAGATGTTGACACTGGATGGTGTAAATCAGAGACTAGAGCTGAAAAAAGTGTGACAGGCCTACATAAGGGGGTGAAGACAGGAAAAAAGGCTTATCAAATGCATTTGAACACCAAATTTTTCAAAACTTGTAATTTCTCAGTCTCTACATATATAGGAGACAGGATTTATGTAGGATGATGTGCTAAGGAGAAAACAAAAATTAGCTATCAAATTTTATTTGAGGTTAACATAGAAGTTACATCTTCAGAAATTTTAATAAATTTATAGAATTTTTAACTTTCTGTCCTTATAAAATGTAATGGGAAAGGGCTCATTTATCTACATATCATTCAGAACAGGAAAAAGAAGTGTTCCTCTTGGCACTTTCACCCAGGATGTGGGAGATCCAAGTTGCAATTTCTCCGATTCGATAGGCAGTGCTTTTATCTCTGAAATCTGATCTGCACAGAGCTCTCCTTTATTTGGAGAACCTAAATGAATGGATTTTGGAACCCATCCAGAGAAACATTCAGCAGAGCTGTCTATCAATTTTGACAAAAATCAAAGAATGTTTTAGGTGAAGGAACTATTTGGAAAATGCTTACCCAGATGCTGAGGGGAGGAGAAGGCAGAAACTAAGGGTGTTCTTATACAAATGCAGTCACTTTTACATGGCAAAGCCTGTATCACTTCAGTGGAGATACAAGCTCTTTGGTGGCTCAAGGAACAGGTGTCTATTCCTTGTCTATACCAAGCATCTTTATGTATTCCCAGCTATTCTCATGTCTGCTATATCATTCATTGATCATTAGATAGAATTTGTAGAGTTTTCCCTTCAATTAAAAGAGAAGGTCCCCCTTCAGTGCTTTAACAGGAGTATTTTCAGGGAATAAATGAAGGATGAAGAATGAAAGCAGCTAATGTCTATAAAATTTCTGCTTTGTGTTGGAATTGCTGAAGGTACCTAATGAAAAAGTTGAAATGAAAACTGCAGAAAGGCAGTTCAAGCATTAAGGCATGACCTTGGAAAATGGGGTGGTATCTTCCTTCCCCCCCAAAAAATATCTCTGTTAATACGGAACGTTTGTTAATTTGGCTACTACCTGACTTTTTCATATGACTTTGAGAGTTCTGTAGCCAGATTTGTATCAGTCAGAAATATTGAATATTACAGTCAAAGCTGATTTGCTGGAAACGTGAACATACAAAGGTCTATACATTTCTGAATACTGAGGAAAATCTGCCCTTGATGTCCTCCATGGTGATCCAAAATGCGAAGACATTTCTGACAAGTTAAGCCATTGATTCCTAGCTGCAAAACAGGATATGCTTCCCACTGTCTCAGAGAGAGGCTGTAAAGAGAAATTGGTGTCTATGAACTTCTGGGGAAATATGATGAGAGCACCAGAGGAAAGCCCGTGAGGAAGTTCATGTTGCAGTATTCAATGCAGACTGAATACTGATGATAAAATATATGAGGGCAGAAGTACTGAATTTATTCAGTGAGCATCAGTGCGTTCAGGGAGCAGATGGACACTGCGTGCATTTCATACTCTTCTGGGGACAATATAGTAAGTGACCCTTGGACTAAAAAAAGAAATTAATATTAAAGGAGACAAAGGCCCAGATTAAAGAAGTATATGTGATCACAGTTGTGACATTTCCAAACTTTTCAGGGCTAACTTTTCAGCCTTAGCATTTATTCTGGCTATTTGTATGTAGTACAGACATAGTTGAGATGTATTTTAAGAACTGTGGGTTTTCTTAGCTAATTCTGGAAAAGCATATCAATCTTGATATCTGGGTTCTCTGCCTAGAACAATTACCATGCCCTCTTTTTAGAGACGGTTTTCATCTAACTGCATTTTCTGGTAGAGACAGCCAGCTGTTTGTTAAAGAACTAATTTACCTAATGAGCGGCGGCAAACATTTGAATCTATTTCTGCAAGGTGAATAACTCCCAGTACTTATGCTTTCCTGCTTTTCAAGTGCATGTATGAAGAAAAAATTAATGTCAAATTAAATGAGACTATTAAATACATTTTAAGGCTATGCATAGTTTCCTCATGACCCTTTGTTTAAGCGCAGCTAGGTAATCTGCATAATTTTTTTAAAAAATTTTTTTACTTTCATGAAACTTTGTATTTCGTTACAGTTAGTTGGAATTAGGTCATATTTTTAAGGTTCAGACTAGCATTGGATGGGCTGCACTGGCTCATCCCATCATTCGAAAGGGTTTTTGGAAACACAATGCAGTTGTTCCTCAAGCTCTGTGCTAGATCAGGTGTCAGTACAGAAAAGCCTGACTGAACTCTTTTGGAATCTGACATTCAAGCCTGTTTTCTCTGTGATGTAAAAGTGATCTAACAGCTATATTTTCAACAAATATTTCCCAGATAAGGTATAAAGCTGCGCTGTGAGAAAATAAATAAAAATCCTTTCAGTTTGTCTCTGCCTTCCAGATTTACTGGTGAATTTACTGATGGGATAGTTTTAATAATTTCTTTGCCCTTGTGTCCTCTTTTAGTAAGCCATTATTAAGAGAAAAATTAAAATAATGAAATCAGCTAATTCGGATGGCCTACTTGAGATGCACAGAGTTCTCGGTAGCTTCATTTACAGTCATAGATGCTCTATCCCACTGAAATTCAAACACAGGTAGTTGTTAATTGCTATCTACTCAGAATGAATTTTTAAAAATATGAAAATGTAGAATATAATGGCTACTATCACATAGTATCACTGCATTGTATCTTGATGGACAGATTTCTATTTCAGAAACAGTATAACAGAATAAGATGCTACTACAAGCCATTAGTAACTAATCAGTACGTTTGAAAAGTGCTTTTGACAATTTATATTTGAAGGAATATTATATAGGAGTACAGTGAAGTACAACAGATCTATACTTAACAAAATCAGGTAGCTGTATAGATGTGGGTATAAATTTTATGTATACAGAAATGTGTACAATCAGGTACATTGAAGGTGATGTACAATCAGGTGTACAGTCAGGTACATGGTATCAGTGACAGGTGATTTATGCACTTTGACACTCAGTATCGCAAATAATAACAGCTAATATTAGCTGTTTTGCTGCCCAGTGGAGATGCTTTGCGATACATTATGCTTCGCCATTCCAGTGGGGAGAGCTATATACTAAAAATTGTAATTCACTGCACCAACCCACAAGCAATAGTGATCTGGAAAAGGATGAGGAGAGAGGGCAGGGAAGGGCTACTCTCCAGAGAGAAGTATCTTCTTCTCCCAGGTTTCACAGAGCCTAGCATGCTCCCGGAGCTATGCACCTAGCTAGGTCTGTCTTTGTTTTCCATTGCGTTATCCCCAAAATCTGTGATTATGACATTCACTGCTTATGTCCTCACGCTTTTTGCTATAGCGTAAAATACTTCACACTGTGACAAAAACTTCCCAGATGTATGTATCGCTGCAATGGAATTATCTCCTTTAGGAGCAAGGAGCCCTAGACACCGACAATCATATTAATGAGGCAGCACAAAATGAGAAAGTTGAGAAAACCTGGCAGAATTCATACTGGATAGGCCCCAAGAAAGACTGCTGGGAGCGGAGAGCACGTCTTACAAGAACAGACCAAGTGGGAAGCGAGGGGCTGTCGCTGACCTAGGCTAGGAAGACTGACATAAGGAGAGGAAAAGTGTGAAGTGGGAAGTACGCTTCTTCTAAATCCACAGGAGATGTAGCTGTGCTCACATTTTGCTGCAACTTCTAACCGGTATTTCTAGCTGGGATGTGACACCATACCAGACTGTTCCCAAATTTGCAGTGAGCTCAGTCCTGACTAGGTGGGTTACCTGCGCTCTGCTTGGTTTTTATTTCTACCAAGAAAATAAAAGCTGAGAAGTGTAAGATCGTGCCCCGTGAGTACACCGTGGGGACTAACATGGAAAGAGAAAGAAAGCCATTTTAGTACAACAGTGAAAAAATTACTTAATTCCTGTTGGATTGTTTTCTGTATATGATAAGACTATTCAATGGGCAGTAACACTGACTTGTGCCACTACTTGTTCATTAAAGGCCTGGGAAAGGAGTAGCCCAGGTGATGGAGGCACATAGTTCTGAAAATAATTCAAAGCATCCATGGCTTTAAAGTTCTGGTTACAAGAAAAGCAATAAAAAGAGTTCACCTGAAGCCACGGCAATTTCAAAGGTTCTGAAACAATTTCATTGTATTAAAGACTATACTCATTTGTGTGTGTTACCATGCTTATTCAGATTGATAGGTGCCTTCATGATTAATTTAATTTGAGAAATTAAGCAATGCTTTGGATAAATGTGTTCTTTCAACAGCTCTGGCTAGGCATGCCAGCCTGGTACGTTGCTGCCTGCCGTGCCAATGTGAAGAGCGGAGCTATTATGTCTGCTTTGTCCGATACGGAGATTCAAAGAGAAATTGGAATCAGCAACCCTCTTCATCGCTTAAAGCTCCGATTAGCAATCCAGGAGATGGTATCACTGACAAGTCCATCCGCACCTCCAACGTCCAGAACAGTGAGTCCTGTTCAGCTAACTCTTTCTTCCCCGCTTCACCATGCAGGAGTCTGCAGAGAGACTTTTGTAGCACAAGAGTGGCTCTGTGATAACACACACTTCACAATCGGTGGGAACTGTCCTATGGAGACTTAGAAGGACCTGTTCATCGCTTGCTTGATTGTTGATCACTGGTATTTTTCCTGTAGCAGATATTCTTATTTTTTTAAGTCATGCTTTTGATTAACCTTGATGTTATCAAAATGCTTGGTATTGAGCATCTTATTTGTAATTTTGCCTGTATTGTTACCTTTCTCTTCCTTCAAGCCATCTCTCCCAATCAAATCAGATTGCCTTTCTCTTTTTTTGTTTGTTTCTCTCTTTTTTTCCTTTTTTGGGGGGGGAGGCAATGCAGGAGAGGGGAAAGGTTATGAAGGAACACAGCTCTTTTCCCTTCTCTTGTTCCCATTCCACTTTTTTGCATCCTTTCAAATGCTATCTAATCTAAGTCAGCTGGCTTTAGGTTCTTCATGCTAAAAGCATGAAGCAGTGATTGAAAAAAAAAAAAGCATGAAGAGAAGCAGTGATTGGAGGTAAGAAGGGAGAAGTGGAGTGTGTGCATTTGGTGAGGAAGGGAGAGGGGGGAGAGAGAGAGTGTGGCAGCTGAAGGAAAGGAAGCAAGTAAATAAGAAACACAGAGATACAAGTCTGAAAGGAAAGGGGAATATATCAAAAAGAGCAAGAAAGTGGATTAGGGGACAGTAAGGATGTATGATGTGCTATAGATAAAAAGCAACTTTTAGTGGGAAATGAAGAAAAACAGGCCAAACTGATGAGGAGAAAAAAAAAACAGGATAACAAAAGGGGAGTTTCATGCTGAGGGGCTGATGGTGATCACTATGAGAGAGGCAACAAACGCTGTAACAAAAAAAAAAAAAAGAAAGAAAAAAAATGAGGCTTCATCAGATGGGAAACACAGCATAGAAGTGAAGGAGAAAGACAACTCAAGTAGTGCAGCCCAGACTTCTAGTAGTAAGTTAATAATAATAATTATGTTTATAATAATAACAATAATAATTTGTAATCTCTTATCTTGGTGGAATTAATGGAGAATCTTTTGGTGGAAATTAGAATTGAGGTACCTCTGAGGAGTACCAGATCCACCGAGCTGTGTAAGGACCTGGGCAACAGGACTCTAATGCTCATATTGATTGGCCTTTTATCTTCATGTTGCTGAGGTTCCTTAAATATAGTAGTTCCCCATCTGATATTTTCTCCCCTCAGAACAGATGTATATGTCATAACTATAGTAATTCTATGAACGGTAATGGATTTCACCTAAGTAAAGCCATATAGACTCAACACGATGTTGAATTACTAAACAAAACTCATTTTTATTTTAAAAGTATAAAAGCATATTTCAAAGCATAAGAGCATTGACACTTATGACATGAGAAGACAGTACATTCAAGCTAGAAACATTGGGAATAATTTTGCCTTGTTTTTTTAATTCTCCCTGAGTAATTGGCAGCGCAAGGCTGCCCTGCACTGGAATGTGCGCTTTGGAGTCCCAAGTCTTTCTGCCTCCTCTCTTTCTCAGGAGAGGAGTTAATTTACCTCAGCTCTCAAGAAAATGTAGCAGATTTCCACACCCGCTCCCTTTCTCATCTCATTGTCCTTGTAAGAATCTGACTGAAAACAATAGGATGAAGAAAAATAGTTTTGCAAGTGAATTCTCTTGACATTTTTGATTTACAGAAATGTGGGGGAAGTAAACATAATTTAGATTACAATATGAGCGTGTGATGTGTGCAGAATATTTAGGCTGGAAAATCTTTCATGAGTGAAGCTTACCTCCAGACAGAGCTGTGAGCTAAAGGTTGTATTTGCCACTTGTGTGTGAAATGCAGCTTTAATTATTATTCTTTCCTTTGTGACGGTGCTCTGCCGGATTTCATCCATCACTTCTAGTTGAAATACTCCATCGCGTCTGTTCAGAATCCTCTAACAAAAGACACAAAACAAGTTGTCTAAAGTTGTCTCTAGTTGCAGCTCGGTAGAGGCAAGATCGTGGTTGTGCTGATGGTGATGCTATACGCTGTTAACTTACAGTGGTGCTGCCTTTCTTCTTTACCACTGCTTACCTAATGCGGATCCCACCTGCCTCCCTGCGGGCCTTGTCCATAGCCCTCAGGCAATGTTTGGGTGACCCATGAAGAAATGGAAAATCTTGCTGCTCCGGCTAAAACGGTTAGTCTTCCACTTCCATTTAAAATTATTTCGGCGCTCAAAAGAGAATTGTATCTGCTTTAACAAAGGTGCCGCATCTTCAGTAGGATGCTTCCCAAGCATGCCATTAGAAAGCCTCAGGGAGTAGTAAAATGGAATTTAAGTAACAGTTACATAATTTCTCAGCAAGAGAGAAATTGTGATCACAAAAATTGTGTGAACCTAAAACCAGTGTTGGAGTTTTACAGCACATGATAGTTTCACTGCCAGTGTGAAACCTCATTTAGTGAAATGAAATTGTTGCGGTTATATGTGCGACATTTCCCCTGTACTCTGCTCCCTAGTACCTCTTCTAAATATAGTTTTATATCTGCTGAAATAGAAAGAAATAATAAAGACTTGAGAATGGTGCATTACATAACTCAGTGTTTTCATTAATGCAGAGTCTCTCATGTCCATGCTTGTGTACTGATGCTCTTTGATTTAGGGTGTATGGACTTTGTCATTTATTTATTGATTTTTGTCAAACCTCTCCCGGCTTTGGGGGGGGACATAATTAAATATTAATATATTTTATTCACTAGTTCTGACTTTTTTATTTTGCTTGGAACATATGTTATTTTAGGTTTTGTTTTTAGCATTACATCATAAAAAGTCCATAACAGTGCTTATAAAATATGATACAATCCTACAGTAAGATGTCCGCAAAACTTATCTTCAGTTTGGAAAACTTTATAGTCAGCCCAATCCATAAGTGGTGGGGGAGGTATGAAGCTAAATTTTGATGCAATACAGACTTATTTCTTAGAAATTTATGCTTGCTTTACTATTTTAAGTTTTCTCATGAACATTTGTGAAGCAGATTCTCATCAATAATTTTTTTTACAACTGACCTCATTTTTGATTTTATTATTATTGGTATAACAACAAGTATAACAACACCCAACTGACCAGAAATAGAGTTGATCTTGTTTAACTGGCCAGCCAGCAAAATACAGTTTTGCCATAAAAAAAGTTATATAAAAAGCTCCTTTACAATACATTCACAAGAAGACATCTTTTTATTCTGAATGTTGCAAAGTCTAACTAGAAATAAAAAATGGCATCTCTAATGCCCAACTTTGTAAGTCAATGGTTGTGTTTTGATTGTGAAACCATAAAAAGTATTTAAAGATAATGCTGCAAAGTTTCACCAAGATCCAATGATTTTATATCTCGAAAACTTAGCTAGATTTGCCCTACTAAGATTTTATCATTTTGGTCTTGTAATTTTTAAGGTAGGTTAGCTCAGGGCATTGCCGCTGACTGGAGTTATTTTATCAGTATATTTTACACGTACATTTTCATTTATACTAAGACTAACATACACAGGAAAACCACAGCGTTTTGTAACTCATTTTCATTGTCTTTTTACCTGCTTTGCTAATTGCTTCCTGCGGATAACACAGAAAGAGTCTGAAGAAGGCAGCTGGGCTCAGGTATGGCCCTTTCACATAGTTGGTTTTTAAGGGAAAGCTAATAATGATGTAATTAACAGTTTATCAATATGCAGAGGGGAGTATAGTATTGTGATAATATCTCAATGATTGAATTACCATTTACACATTTTAGAGTTCTTCTCATACAAAGAAAATATTCTCTGGACAGGTTTGCTAGGTAAAGCACAAAGAGGTAGATATGCTGTAAATAGTTTTATTAAAAGAAATGGCTACATTCCAGAGACATCTTCTACCTCCCAGCCCAATCTAGAAAAAATCTTTTCCTCTTTTTTGAGAATGGGCTAATAAAATATGACAACAGTTTGAGATCTAATGTTTCTAAAATTACATCAGATATTTTTAGAACAATTGTATAAATCACACCCAAGTATCAGTCTACAAATAGACTTGTATAATTAGGAACAAATTTTTTTACTTTCATTAGACTATCAATTACATATATTTTTCAACTTCCTTCTCTCTCTCTAATATGTGTACACTTTTACACAATTTTACTGTCTTTACTTACGGCATTCTGTTTCTCTTCAAAATTCACAAGAATGAGAGATGAGGGGACTATATTTTCCCCCATAGAAAATATAACCAGCTCACACTGTGTTATCCTTTTGCCTATAGTGACAGGAGACATTAAAAACAAAACCAAAAAGATAGTTAGGCTTGACAGTGGTGCTCAAAGCTGAGCAGGATCCTGTAGAGGAGGTGTTAATCTTGCAATTTATGAGGTCTCTTTTGTGTTAAGTTTTAGTAATACAAAATAATTGACAATAGTGAGATGTAAAATCTACCTATTTTGCATCTTAATTATGCAGCCCACATAATAACAGCTCACCATGCATGTGTTTTTTTCCATATACTTTCTTCCTTATCCTTTTGACGTTTCAGCTGAACAATGAAGTAGCTTAATGCCTAAATGCTAGCTTCTAGGAGGAATTGGGTTCTCCTATCTTAAAGAATTAATTTATTGAGTTCCACATATGAAGCACTCTAGGTTTAAGCTATTCAAAGCTGAAAATATCTCATTAATATAATGTATTTGGTCACCTGCTGTGACTGGTGGTGAACATGATTTAGGGTGACAAACAACTGAAATTAACTTTTAGTCTCAAAAGGACTACAGGTGTGTAACCATGAAGTGTCATTAGATCCTATTTAGGAAATCCTAGTCCCTACTAAGCAGTGACGCTTCAGTTGATTCCCTGGGGCCATGTTTGTATTACCAAGTTCAATGTAGGATTTGCCTAGCATAAATATTCTAGAAGGTTAATTGAAAGCGAGTAAGATTATGAAACAAACACATTTTGATTGTGTAATAAGTTTGCTTGCATTTAAAACTCAGAATTGAAACTACATTTTTTTTTAATTGCAAAAAAAATGCTTAAAATTTACAAAGGTAGAAAACAAGACACAACTGGCAAAACTGCTATCAGTAAAGAACATCTCACTGGCGTCCACCTCCAATGTCAAAATGATATAAAAATGGATTTTTTTGTGGTTTTAGACTGGATATCTAAGCTGGGAAGTCTCACTAGAAACAAGCACAGCAGACAGATATTCTGTCTTCAGTCTGGTGCAACCTTGAACAAACCCAAGAATTTATTCTCCCTCTCCCTTTTTTTTTTCCCCCCCTGTAGACCCTGGCTTACGGTGATATGAACCACGAGTGGATAGGTAACGAATGGCTCCCCAGTCTGGGTTTACCTCAGTACCGAAGTTATTTTATGGAATGCCTGGTAGATGCAAGGATGTTAGATCATCTGACAAAGAAAGATCTGCGTGTGCACTTAAAAATGGTGGATAGCTTTCATCGGTATGTTGGCATAAAGACTACACCTATGAAGATGTTTATGTGTCTGACCTAGTGCTCAGTGCTGCACAGAATAAAACCACTTACTTTCTGTTGTTCTGGTGTGGAAAACCACAGAGAAAAGTGAGTGCCCAGTGTCAGAAATCTGAATTGAGAGAGATTCCTTGAGTAATAGCAACTGCATTGCAATTATGTCTCTCAAAACTAAGATACTGGTACAGGTAAATTTCATAATGAGCAGGGAACCATTTGTAAATAAAGCCTTGACAATACAGCAACAGTAATAATTTATTAAGTGGCTTAAAGTATCAGAAAATGGTAGAATAAGATTTGACGCCCTGAGATCTCATCATAATGAAAAGCTATTGTGTGTAGCACAAAAGCTGTTAACAGTACAGGCAAATTGACAGTTGTTTCAGTTATCTAGAGATATAGCCAGGAAGCTAAATTGGAAATATGGAAATAAAGGCATTTAGACTTTAGGGAGAATGATGTTTATGTGACAAGAAGTGGATTTTTTTTAAGGTACTGTCTGATTTGTCACTTTTTTGAGGACTAATTTGACAACAGCTCACAAGGGCTGACCTTTTCTGAGTACGATTTTTAATGTTTTGGGTTTCTTATGCTAGCATGTTTATTCAAACATACTCATTTTGATTTTGTCCATTTTATTTTTTAAGTCTATAGAGTTGTTCTAATGGTTTTGCCCTCCCCTCTGTCCTCAAGATTTGCTACATAGGCATCATGAAATACCTCATGTGAAATGCAGGAAAGACATCCTACCTATGTTCCTATCTTCAAGATTATCTTTATTAACTCTGTAAATGTTTCTCTTTAAATAACAGAACAAGCTTGCAATATGGAATCATGTGTTTAAAGAGGTTGAATTATGATAGAAAAGAACTGGAAAAGCGAAGAGAAATGAGTCAGCATGAAATAAAAGGTGATCGTTCCTGGGAATGAATACTGGGGATGTTTCTTCTTTTGAAGCTTGACACTGTTAAGCCCTTGCCATGCCATTTTAGCAAGGCATTTAAGCATGCGCTTTAAGTAAAGCTAACGTATTTGCGTCTGTCTTCAGATACAAAATATCTCCTTAAATTAGGCACAGTTAAGTACTTTGCTAAATTGGGGCTGCAGTTCCAAACGGCGGTTTCATACGTACACTTTGCTAAATCGGCTTCTGGGGACAGACCGTATCCTACCCTCTTTCAGTCTCAGAAGCAGAAGGCCAAATAGCCTGCAGCTCAGTGGGGTGTGCTGGGGGCCAAAGTGGGAAATAGGAGCACTCAGGACCCTAACACTGTGCTCCTGCTTTTGAAAACCATTGCCTTTGATTTCTTACTTCAAAATGTGTTTCATAGAACATGTTGCTTGGAGGGGTGGTCTCTGAGGCAGTTGGTATATAAGAATAGTTCCTAACAGAACTGGCCTTATTAGGAGATTTAACAGCTGATCTGAAAGTATTTTGCTGTGTGAAGCTCTCTAGAGCAGTTGCAGGCTCACTGCATGGTTCCTCTTATATAGAACAATTACAGTTGTTGGTTGTTTCTATTATCATAAGTGAATCCTTTGATTCCCTTAAGCATTTCCAGCTCTAGCAAATACTAATACTTCTCAAGCACAATGGTGATTGGAAGAGCTAAAAAAAAAAAGACGGAATTAAAAGGGGGAACAGCTGCAGTGAAAGTGCATTTGCTCAAGGCAGATGATGGCATGCACTAATGCAAAGACTTTTTCTTGTATGTGGAGGCATCAGTGTCAGTCAGGCTGAGTGCGTATAGCTGAGACTGACAAGGGGGAATTGGGTGTTGGTATCAAATTCTGGTGTTGCTTCAATGCTAGTCACCTCTAGCACAAGGGTAATAACCCACAGCCTCCTTCACCCAACCTTCACCCTGTCATGCATTGGTCAGTTAGATATGGTCCGAGGTGGGATTTGGGCTCGGTGATCCCTGGCTGCCATGCTTCAGCTGATCCTGACCCCAAAGCCTGGGATACTCTTGGTCAGGTGATGAAGAATGCCTGCTCGCAGAACAGCTACATTAGCTGGACTTCTAAAAGTTCAGGAAAAACCTTCATCACTTAGTAACATAAAACTCAGCATTATGATCCCCACTCACAAGTAGAAGGATCAGTATAAGTAACTTTCTTTTATCTTACAGGCAGGGTAGGATACTTTTTTGGTAATAGCCAAATCCTCAAAAATGGTTTCCTAGCTCGTTTTGTTGCCTTAGCTTTGTAATTGGCATGGACCTTAACCATGACCATGGTCAACCAGCGTTCTGAACTGAAAATAGTTTTAGTCTCTAAAATTGTGAACTCATTATTTGCTTTACAGCATGTTATAAAATGGTAGGTGCTGACCAGACTCTCAAAATATTTAATAAAAAACTCTCAAGTGAAGCCTTGAGGAATGGATAATTCTCCTGCGCCCTTGCACTGTTAAACTGTAAAATCTTGCCTAAGAATTGAAAAGGGTACCTATAGGAGGTGGGAAGAATTGTGCTCTGGAGATGCCCTCTGCAGGCACCTTTCTCCTTTGGAAACATTCTTTAGAATAAACATTTAACTCGAAGGTAGCTAAAATCACACAGGGTTTTGAATAGGCAATATTAAAGCTATATGAATAGTTTGCTGGCATTCCTCATTTAAGAAATAGAGCACTATGATGTCCACAGTGCATGCACAACTACATGCATGCTCCTGTACAGTTTGGAAGTTATCGGGTACCAGAAGACTGAAGCAGTGTTATGTCCTTACAGATGTGCTGGTATGGAGCAATGATCGAGTCATACGCTGGATACAAGCTATTGGCCTCCGAGAATATGCAAATAATATTCTAGAAAGTGGTGTACATGGTTCACTTATAGCACTGGATGAAAACTTTGATTACAGCAGTTTAGCTTTATTATTACAGATTCCAACACAAAACACCCAGGCAAGTTTGCTCACGCTATTTCGGGTTAATCTGTACCCATTATTGCCTTTATTAATCTTCAACCATTTTAATTTTTTACTTTGGTTATCTCTAGGCACGGCAGATCCTTGAGAGAGAATACAACAACCTTTTAGCACTAGGAACTGAAAGACGACTTGAGGAAGTAATTAATTTTATTTTCAGTATTTACAAAATATCACGGTAAAATATAAAAATCAAATTGAATGCATGAAGACATGTTAACTTGCAAATTGTTAAAGAGAGTCAGATATAGCTTTAAGAACAAATTAGGAAATGCCAGTCAAGGTTTTTAAAGTAACCTCAGTATGGCTACATATTCATATCATTTTGGATGCTAAATTTGGCAATACACTCTTACCCTAAGATGAACATTTTCCATAGAGGAAAACATGCAGAAAAGGAATGGAAGTTTCACTGGCCAGAGAAAGTGTTGGGGAGGCAGATGCCTGTGCAACCTATTCTTTAGGGCACTTACACCCTTTCTTTAAAAATAAAGAAAAAAAATGGGGTTTTGGTGGGGGTTTTTTTGGCTCTTCAAAGTTAATCAATATGTAATAGGGTGGGATTTGGGGCAATTATCTACGATGGGGAATCTCAAATTTACCTACGGAAAATATTCCTCTTAAGGCAAGAGTCCAGTGCAAAAATGTTCAAGTCCTGGACTTCTGCTCATGAGGATGAATAAAACTTTTAAGGACTTGCTGAAAACGTGAGATCCTATGAATTCTGTGCATGCACATGAGTGTTTAGTTCTTTATTAGCACTTTACATAAGCCTCCTAATGCAGTAACCACTGCACTTTCTATGACTGTATTTGGAAGAGTTCTGACTTTTAAGAAAGTTCTACTTTAGCTGATACTAAAACCCTCTACTATATCGAGCCAGAGATTTAAGAAGAGTTTTCCACCCTGGCATTTAAAATTTCTAAAGCATTTACTTTTACAAGAGCATCTCAAATGCATTGCAGTTACCAGATGCAACGCAAGAGCAGGGTAGTTGTGGAATACATTTGACAGTGAGAGAGAGGAGCAGACATAATCAAAAAAATGTCATTTTGCTTTATCAAATACAACTGTGTGTGTTGACAGAGCGATGACAAGAACTTCAGACGTGGCCCCTCCTGGCGACGACAGTTTCCTCCGCGCGAGGTTCACGGGATCAGCATGATGCCCGGCTCCTCGGAAACGCTGCCAGCTGGGTTCAGATTAACCACAACATCAGGGCAGTCACGGAAGATGGCGACTGATGGTATGCAGTCATTTCTGCCCTTATTGTTGAAAAGCAAGAGGCTTATTTTAATATGCTAAATTGACTTTTAGTGCATGTCTGTTTTGCACCAGAACGGCTGCGTTCACGTAACTAGGATGAATGGAGTCTGGGAGAGAATTAGGGAATGGAAAAGCACTGACTTGGCATACTATTGATTTTTTCAGGTTTACTTCAGACTGTCAGTGTTTATTTAAGGAAGAAAAAAAAAAAAGCCATCTAGCCCTTCTAGAACTGCAAAGGAAACATTCAGAATTACTTTACTTCCATCTAAGATTGCATACAATATCTAAGCAAATTTTTCAGCTCATTCACCTCTCTAGCAGGTGGAGTGTATTTCAGAGAATGAACGTAGAAAGAGCTATCTATCACCTTTATTTTCCTATTTGACTTTCAAACCAACTAGCTTAACTCAAGTTGCTAACAGTTCTTAATAGTCAGATGGGTGGTATAGTTAGCTAATACTGAATTTCAGGTACTAATTTGAGTTTACTGCGTACCAGTCGTAATTTTCTCTGGAAATCTTTTAATTTCCAAAAGATGCACTAACTCAGCAATGATTGGAAAAGTATCAAGCAGATCATAATTAAAAAATAAGTAAAATTTAAAAATCATTGTAAGAGGGCGAGGAGAGGGGACAAATCCCATTACAGCTATTCCTTCAAGTATATGGATGATAAAGCCATGTATACCTGCCTGAAGTTCTGATAAGTACCAGGATGCAGACTGGCCCATTTCAAATATCGCTGTTTATTTCCTCATGAAAGAATCTAGGTCTATGGATAGACTTGTCTCAAAGTAATTTAATACACTACTTGTAGTGATTACATTCTGTAACTCTTGAATGAACTTGGTATGACAATATTGCCATCTAAATTCCATTAAAGCCATCTAAATTTCATTAAAAGTTCTCACCTATAAAAATAATACTTTATAGTTGCAGTTACAAATGGAATAATTTACTGATTGCATCACTGAATTACATTGACTCCACTGCTCATGTACATGCTTTGCTTTTAATCCTGCACATTTTGGCAATGATGAAGCTGTAAGACAAGAATCCATTCCAAGGAAAATGTAATAGCTCCCAAGGCATTTCCATGGCCCACATTACTGTAGTAAAGAACTTCACAAACATTCATGGATTTCATATTCTAGCCATGCTACAAAGTAGAAGATATTATTCCCATTTTACAGATGGGGAACTAAGGCACAAAGGAGATTTAGTGATATACTTGAGGTCTTCCAGACAGTTTATTATTGAGCTGGGTACTGAACTCAGTAGACGTAGAGGTAGGTAGCTTTGAAGACCTACATCTTCATCCAGGATTTGTCTTCCTATCTCCCAGTGCTAAGAATGCTACAGCGTTTAAACAGCATGATAGGTACAATATTAGGACTTCCAACTGAGGTTTAAACTGTATTCACTTAAAACAGATTTCAACAGACATGAAGAAACTCTGCCTTCTGAACTAGGCCATGCCCAGATCCTGTCATAGAAAGCCACAGAGCGATTTAATAGCCACCCTTCCAGTGGGAAGCAGAATGATTTATTTTCTTCATGATTCTAAAGAGGTTCTGGTTTGTTTCTTTTTTTTTTTTTTTTTTTTTTTTTTTGCAATTTGCAGTTGCTTCATCACGACTGCAGAGGTTAGACAGCTCAACAGTTCGCACATACTCATGCTGACAAGGCCTAGCAAAGAAGCCAGCACTGAATTGTTGTGAGTATTCATAAGGGGCCATCATGAAAGTTCTTTGTAACTGTACACTACACCCGATATTTCTTGGCATTATTTAAGCAAGAGCCAGCATGGAGCAGAGGACCTAACTCAGACTCACTGGGGTGGTCATTTGATCATGACAACGTTCTCAAGCTCAGTCCAGGAGACACTAGGCTATTTTCCCCATCGCAAACAGCAGGTTCTTTCTGCTGAAACCACTTTAGCAACACAGAAGTTTCCAGACCTTTTTTGTTCCTGTTCAGATGCTAGCTCCCCAACCACAACATATTTTGTATGCTCTCAAACTTAAAAGCTAGAATTGGGGAGGCAGCAGTAGGCACAGGGAGTAAATTTACTTTATGAGAACTTGAAGAGGTTCTAGCAGAAGCTAGGGAGAGAGGGGAAAAAACCCAAACCAAACTAGTAAAGTGAAAGAGATTTCCTTTTTTTTTTAAATGAGAGATATGGCTCAATTTAGAACATCACATAGCTGCATAAAGCTAGAACAAAACTTCCCCTATACAGAACATCTTCCAAAGTTATTTATTACAGAGACTCTTGAACTTCTCAAATCTTTCAGAATTGACCAGTGACCAAGAAAGGATATTCTGAGCTGGATGCAACTTTGGATCAAACTGAGTACTCGAATTCATGTTGCATTTCTCACCACTTACCTTTTGAATATGTCTATGAATCTCAGAGACTCACTGCTCCAGAGTTCTGCGGAAATACATCATTTTCTGCTGCATCACAAGTTTTGCAAAAAATAACAACATGATGAGCGCTTTCATCAATATGGCACCATTTCATGCTAATATTTTCTCCGTAAAACAGTTCTCCATTTAGTTACTCAGGGGATTGTAAGGGAGCTGGAAAAAGTATTTGGATAGCACCAAAACCTCACTAGGCATTAAACATGCTTCAATAGCTGTTACATATTGTAGTCATGACATGCCAGGATCTACAAAAAAGTCCTTTTTTTGAGATTCCCAAGACTGGGAGAGGCTTGGGGCCACTGAGATCTTACTAATTCTGGACAGGTTTAAAAAGTGCTTAGGAACAGCAAATGTTACCAGTGGAAAACATAGATTGCTCAGGATTCTACTGATGACATGAGCCTTACTTCATAGATCTTCAGAAGACTGTAAGAGTATAAAATCTTATTCTAGTAGAAAAGGGAACTTTTCATGCCATCACTGAAAAATAAGCACAGGAGATTCTCCCCCCCCACACAGGTGAATTTAGCAGCTGGTCCTACAAAGATGATGATGAAGCATGTGATCTATATAAATCTCTGTGTGTGTGTGTGTGTACAGATTACAGCTTTGTGTTCTGTCAGTAAAGTTGATGACAGCACTCTCACTGGGTTCATTGGGGATAGAAACTGATAGCAGAGACGTGTATCTTTTCTCCTATATGCTTCAGAATTGCAATGTTGAAGCAATAAAGTATGACCAAGAAATTAAGTTCAAACACCAAGCTATCTGTTAGGCCAACAATAATGGGCCAGGCACATGAGGTGATATTTTCCAATAGGTTTGAAGAGTGCAACAAGGGCAGAAATTGAAAATTGGAATGTTAACAAAAATTATCTAAACTGTTTATTCCTACTGTATTCAAAAATTGCCAAAAAAGTAGCAATCCCAAATAGAAGTAAAGTAGCAAACTTTGCTGGCACTATATGTATATGGCAGTTACGTATTTTGAACAAAAAGATGTTTATACAAAGTTATATTCAATTTCTATGGGAGTATTAGTAGTGTTTCAAGTATCAGGGATATAGGTCACATTCATATTTGTTGCTTGTCCACTATTCTGCCAACTACATTCTAATCTGAAATGCTCGAGAGCTCTGTAAGTATTTCAGATTTACATCTAAACTGTATAGGCTAATACACGAGGATGACTGACACTAATATACTACTATTTCTTTTCACTTACCCTATACTCCTCTTAGAGAAGCAACAAGATGATGTGAACTAGAACTTTAGTATATGCGCTGTTCCCAAGTGCAACTTCAAACTGTCATGCAGGTTAGAAACCAAAGAGCAAGTTAAAATAACTAAGCAGCAGAGGGGATAGATAGCTGGCTGAGCTACCACACAACAGCAATATAAAAGAATTTTTAATATAGTAAAGGGGAATATGCATATGAAGAGCAGACTGAAGAGAGAGCAGCAAACGGGTTGCACGTGGGTCAAATGAGAGGGCTGTGATCACAGCAGGCTGCAGATTCTTGCATTCTGCTACCCACAGGGAATGTCAAAGCCTTGTATTTCAAAATAGTTTATGCCAACAATACCAATTGGGTACAGCCTTACAGTGTCAATTCATATGCGTTCAATTTGTGTTCCAGGTATTTTTTTAAACCACCATGACAGGCTGCTAGAAACCATGAATTGACATTCTCAGAACAGTGACATGAGCATACTCCGCGCAGCCCAGTTCGAGTGCGCTCTCAAGATCAGAAATTTAAGAACATTTAAGATTGCTGCTGTCTGGCCATTTAATCTTGCAAAGAAGTTTAGCATAGAGCACATGGGGTGGGTCAAGCTTTCTGCTGTGGTGGCTGTATGTGGCCCAGCTGAGCATCTGCAATGCCGTTACACGGCCAGTGGGTTGGGCAGTCACACTGTCTAAGCTTTCCCAACACTTTTCTCTTCTGAAATGCTTGTCACCACCAAGGCAGAAGGCTCAGCCAAGACAGTTTTGTTGCCACAGGCTGGGGCAATAGAGCATACTAGTTTCACTTTTATTCTAATGAAATTTCAAAAGAGGGTTTTGCAAAATCAACGATGTACTTTATCAATGAAGGGTTCCAAAGAGGATTTGTAAAGACCAATGGATAAGAAGAGTTCCAAAAAGATGTGAATGATAATCTGGAAACAGCTGGTCCATAGCAAAGAATTCGTCAGGGTGGAAAAGGTAAATGCTGTCAAGCTGCAGTGAGCAAGCAGAATTACAGAGTACATCAACAAGGTCTTTACACTTAAAATGTGTGTTCAACCTTGTGCCAAACAGGCAAAGGTCTCCAGATGCAAGAAACTAACCCCAATGCTGAATCAAAACAGCAAGAAAATAACTGTAAAATGAGCATTAGCTGGAGTCTGTTTTGATCTAGGATAAAAATCGGTATACAGCAGTACTTTTAAATGTGTTATTAATAGATTTATTTCGCAGATTTGAAATTAAACAACAAATTAATGTCTCCCTCAAGATACTCAACACCCAAGTTTTAATGACACATGCAATAGCTTACGTAGTGCTATAATATTTTCCAGTGTCATTGCATCCTAGACCAAATTAGAATCAAAGAATCTCGCTAATTAATGTTTGTTTATTTTTTCCCTTAGATGTCATCTCTTTCTTCTACTTTACCTGAAGTGCACTACCACTACTTAGGAAAAAGAGCATTAAAACTCTCTGCGAGAACAGGGTAATAGGGAAGAGAACACATAAGGTTTATCAGACAAACATATATGATGTTCCTTTCATGTACTGGTTAGTTTAAAACAAGAATAAAAAAATACCTAAATTACTACTAAAAAAAAAATAAAGAAAAACAAAACCACCTCCCTTTTCCTCTCAGCATCTCTGTCATCAGAAATTTGGCAGTAGTGCACATCCAAAGCTTTTATCAAATGAAGCCACTCATTTTTACATTGTTCCATCTGTTTTATTGTAAAATACTAGACATTTACGTATTTACTGTGTATGTATTTCTTTTAAAATGTGTAAGTCTTATGTAAATGGATATAAATATGATTTTTTAAAAATAAAATCTATGGTACATGGGGTCTCAGTGCAAACATTTGACAATACAGTGTCAATAATACTGTTTGTATCTTTCCATTCCACCATTTTTACAGTTTTTGGATTGTAACAGTCAAATGAATATGTTTAGCGGAGTTAGAAGCTTCAACATGTTCCTACTGAGAAAATCTGTCAATATTTAAAGCAGAACACCTGCCTCTGATGATGTATAATAGAATGACATAACCTGGAACTGGAGCCAAAATGGACCTCTACAGACAAAATGGAAATGTCAATTATCTATAGAGAAGCACCATGATGGCTCACCTCTTAAAAAACAAATGAACCCAGAAGAACTGTTTACAAAAAAAAAAAAAGAGGGGGGGGGGCAATTTAATAAAACATGATTTATACAAAAACCAAAAACTTTCTTCTATGTTACCTGCGGACCAAGAAGAGATTTTGCTTTACCAAGAGCCACCTTTTCGTTCCAGGATCTTCAGACACCAGCTATCATTGGAAAATTAAATCTAATATTTGCATAGGATCAGATTCTTGTTTCCAGATATGTTCAACAAAGAAAAAGAAAGAAAGGAGAAGCCAAACCCCATTATTTCTTCATTATAACAGGGCATTAGACAGGCTCCTGTCTAATGTTATGCTTTTAGCCAAGATGGCCTTGCTGAGACTTCACAGAAGTCAATTTTATCAGAGGAAATAACTGAAAGACAGAGTGCTTAATATATAGTGTATAAAAGTTTAGAAAAGCAACTATTACCTGCTGTGGCTTTATTTGGTGGTGTTATTGTTGTTTATTCTTTGTTTAAATGGGAAGTTTCAAAGTAAGACCTACTTAATAGTCATTTACCTATTTGCTATTTTTCTGCTGCTTGATCTTAGCTCAAGACCTGTCTTTTAGTTATTTCTTTTAGCAGTTTGACCTGCAATGTTTGCACGTACATAAACATTTGTTTTGTCTATTTTCATTTGGCAAACTTCAGTCAATCAGATGGTGAAAGATTTTTCTCCCCCAATGTCAATAAAAAAAGAATTCAGTGCTATTTGTGTTTTTAAGTCTATTAAGCTTGGTACGTAGTAGCATTAAAATAATTGGATGCGCTTCTCATAGCTAAGTATAAGCACGTTTTGCCAACAGATACGGATTTATTGGTCAGAACCTGCCACGAGAGGGAGCACTGAACTTGCTGATGGGTGCGGTATGACGGCTTGGGTTAGCACACAACCGTGTAAAGACATTGCTCTTTCACGTACAGTTCCTCAGGCTTAGCAGATGTTCCTTCTCCTCCCGCAATCTTCTGTTGGATTATTTTAGTCCAGAATGTCACGAAGTAAAGCAATGCAAACACCATTTTTCAGTGGTTGCAGTATCATTTCAATACATTTCCCCTTGTAAACACTGGCTCCTATTTTAGAGAATTTCTTTTGTAGCCTGCATTGTCACAGCCCATGCTGAAATTCAGGAGGCAGAGGGGAATGAGGTGTGTTGGGGAAAAGAATGAGCAAGATCTTGGGACCAAAGCTGCAGGTATCCTGCCCCAAGAGTACAGCACCTCCAAATTATTGATTTCACAGTGGAAGAAAACAGACCAGAAGAATTAAAAAAAAAAATATTTTAAGAAGAGTATTACTATGACTTCAGTTTTGATCCAAGGCTAACATATAAAATCTCCTAGTACGTCCCTGTCTCTCCTATAAGAGCTGAAGCTTTACTCTAAACAGCTAGAAATTGTGGCTATTCTAGACGTTATCTACTTGGCTCCAACCCTTTCAGTACACTGGGAATAATTACTACATCAACATCTTCCAACCAAGCTTCAGTAACATCCTGACCATTCAAATCTACCCACATGCTGTTTCCCTCTAAAAACAAAATTAGGAAAATCAGTGTTCTCCCATCATTTGTTAAATGGGCTTGTTCTTCCATGCTGATATAACCGGATTGCTGGGCAGCACCAGAGCCCTGCACAAGAATGACTCCTTCTCCCTTTCGCCAGCTCACTGCAAAGCTAAAGCTGTAGACAAAGCATTCTGCAATCACAGCTCCTCAGGAAAAGGCTCCTCTGGAAAACAAAAGCAATGCCCATGAAACAACTATTTTTCCATACTGTACTGCTGCAATGAAGTGGCTTTCTTTGTCTGGCTCGTCTGAACGCTGATGAATGAGACATTTGGCATTTCTGGAATCCTCCACATTACCAGGGTGGTAGCAAAGCGAGTACACCTGACCACTCTGCCCCTCTCTTTTATTCCAGTCTTGATTTTGAAGGATTGG